CCCCTCTGCCAATAGCTCTGTGTAACCTTGGTCAAGTCACTGCCCCTTTGAAATCTGCCCTGTCTCCTTGTTTAAGGGTTTTGCTTGTTAAGGCCCCTGGAGTCAGTGGCTGGAAGGGCCCAGAAGCTGGGGACGTTACGCCACTCGGCCCTTGGGGCCAGCCAGTTCTATGACATAACCAACCCTGGAGATATCCCGTAGCCTAAGTGGGGGAGATTTAGGGCCGGACAGAGAGCCGGTGTCAATCTGGAGTGACTGCAGTGGTCGTCTCCTTTCCCATGGCTTAAACACCCCATTTGCTGCCCACGTCGTGGCTGTTCCGCGTGGCTGCTTCAGGGAGGCCGGAGCAGACGGCAGAGGGGCCATCGGGATGCGATCCTGGGGGACGCTGCCCGGCGTTGGCAGAGCGTTCCAGAGTCTGAATTCCATTCCCGCAGGCACCTCTCGGGCTGTGTCCGGCTCCCCCTTGGCGGAGGGGGCCGGCTCATCTGCCGTGTGACGGGCGGCCGTGGTTCAAAGCGGGCCATGTTCCCCGAGAGAGCGAAAAGCCACTGGCTTCTCCCAGTGGGTCTGCGATGCAGTGTCTTGTGAGACGTGAGCGTCCTTCCGCCCGGCTCACCTCTGACAGGGGTTTGGAGCGGGTCCCGTGTGAAGACAGATTAAAAAGACTTGGACTTTTCAGCTTAGAAAAGAGGAGACTCAGGGGGGCTAGGACAGAGGTCTATAAAATCATGACTGGCGTGCAGAAAGTGAATACGGGAAAGTTAATTACATAGTCCCACAATATAAGAACGAGGGGTCACCAAATGAAATGAATAGGCAGCAGGTTTAAAACAAAACAAAGACCTTTTTTTTTCACTCAGCGCACAGTCAACCTGTGGAACTCCTTGCCAGAGGATTTGGTGAAGCCCAGGGCTCCAAAAAGAGCTGGACAGATTCATGGAGATGAGGTCTATCAATGGCTATTAGCCAGGATGGGTAGGAATGGTGTCCCTGGCCTCTGTTTCTCTGGAGGTGGGTGATCACTGGATGATTCCCTGTTCTGTTCCCTCCCTCTGGGGCACCTGGCATTGGCCACTGTGGGCAGACAGGACACTGGGCTGGATGGACTTTGGTCTGACCCCGTCTGGCCGTTCTGATGTTCTTATGCTCTTCAGGGGGACACCAGGAGCCTAAAACAGGTTTGTGGGCTTGCAGCAAAAGCTTGGGATGTGATTGACGCCGAGGGGAAAGGGAGTGGGGGTGCTGTGGCGCGCAGCCCCGGCAAGGGCTGGCTGCATTGCGGCAAAAGCCAGCCGGGAGCCATGCGAAGAGCTGGCAGGGACCCAGGCTGCAATAGGAACGTACCCGTAAGGAATGGGAAGTCACTTTCCCGTCTTGGAAGAGCCTTGTTCCTGCGACAGGCCGGCCAAAGAAGCCTCATTCTGCCGCCTGTTTGGGGTGTGCCAGGATGGGAACCCCCGGTGGTGGGGTGGAGTTTACTGGGTGCGCACCCCACGTGACAAAGTGTTACTCTGCATTTCCACCCGTGTGCTGAGAGCTGGGTTTCCCCAGTGGGACAGAATCTCTCCTTGGCATTGGGTCCTTTCCTCCTCCTCCTGATCCCCCCGCTCAGAGATAACCGGGCGGGAGCATGTGCGCCACCCCCCTTCCCTTCTGGTCCCCCCATCTCCCATTCCTAGCCACTGCAGTTCTGGCAAAAGGCTGCCCGCTCACATGTGCCAGTCCCAGGCTGTGGTGCATTCACAGTTCATAAAGCACGTCGAGACTAAGCAGAGCTGACAGGCAAACCTTTACTGGGACAAACGGGAATATAGTATCAGGCAAGGCTGACCGGAGCGTGAACCCGCGCCAAACACAGAGCAAATTAGCATCAACGAAAATAGCAAGCAGTTCAGATCACTTATGTGTGAGGTACCAAATGAACTGGCCTGTCAGGCCACGTTAGAGCGGGGATGCATAAGGAATCGCAGCCCCGGAAGTTCGCTCGTGACCTCGGCCGAGGGGAGGGGGAGTTGCGGGTCTGCGTGTGGGGTGTGTGTGTGTGTGTGTGTGATCACACCTGGAAAGTGGATGAGCTGTGTGTGTGGGGGGGGGACAACACAAAAGAGGGTGTCCTGTGTTTGGGGGCACGTGTGGGTTGCCGTGACCGTGGGAGCTGGGATTGTGGGGGAGCACACACACACGATAAGTGCGTGGTGTGTGCTTGGGCGTGTGTGGATGGTGGTACATACAGAGGGGGGGTACGGGATATAAAACCATGGTACATCTGCATCTTGAATACTGCATACAGGTGTGGTCGCCCCTTCTCCAAAAAGCTCTCTTGGCACTGGAAAAGGTTCAAAAAAGGGCAACAAAAATGACGAGGAGTTTGGAACGGCTGCCCTTTGAAGAGAGGTGAAAAAGACGGGGACTCTTCAGCTTAGAAAAGAGGAAACTGAGGGGGGCTAGGAGAGAGGTCTATAAAATCACGCCAGGTGTCTAGAAAGTGAAGAAGGAAAAGTTATTTATTTCCCCCATATCATAAGAACTAGGGGGCACCATGTTAAATTAATGGGTTTAAAACAAACAAAGGGAAGTTTTTCTTCATGCAGCGCACAGTCAACCTGTGGAACTCCTCGCCAGAGGATGTGGTAAAGACCAGAACTTCAACAGGGTTCAGAAATAGTGAGATACATTCATGGAGGTTAGTTCCATCAGTGGCTATTAGCCAGGATGGGTAAGAAGGGTGTCCCTAACCTCTATTTGTGAGAGGCTGGAAATGGGTGACAGGGCGGGATCACGTGATGGTTCCCTGTTCTGTTCACTGCCTCTGGGGCACCTGGCATTGGCCGCTGTCGGCAGAAAGGCCCTTTGGTCTGACTGAGTGTGGCCGTTCTTACGTTCTTGCGAACATGAAGACAACCGGAGTGGAGCTGTAACCTGAGGATGTTCAAAACCTGGTCTCCGCGCTCCAGGGAAAAGGGCAAGTTAATGAGAGGTGCTCATCGTTAGCCAGATTCCTCTGAGGAGCGATTGACAGAGATACGCCGGCTTTTGTGTTTTAAAAATCAACTGTTTTAATTCCTTGACATTGTCTTTGGGAGGCAGCCTGTCACTGCATAAACAACAGCAGCAACAATAAATATACCTCCTTACACAGCACCTTTTATCCCAGCAGGCCACAAAAACCTTTTGCTGTGTCTCTGCAGGCACCGTTCCACCAGCATGCAGCCACCTCTGGGGCACAACAGGAGGGCTCTTTAACAGCGCACAGCAACAGCAAGGGAGAGATGCTGCATCTAACTGAATCTGCAGGAGAAAGGGAGGAGGACTTCCTAGTTATCTTGGAATAAGCTAGATGAGCAATACGGCCGTCACTTCTACCTGTGTGAAAAATACCACCGGATCGTTAGGGTGACAGCTGGTTGGGAATATGGGTAGCATGGCACCCCCAAGCACTGCGCTAGGGCATTGGTTCAATACCAAGAGGCGGGAGAGCGCCCCCTGCTGAGTCACCTGCTGCACAGCACCCCTAGGGGCGCATAGCACCCCCTAGGGGCAGAGAAGCAGGAGAGCGCCCCCTACTGAGTCACCTGCTGCATAGCATCCCCTAGGGGCAGAGAAGCAGGAGAGCGCCCCCTACTGAGTCACCTGCTGCATAGCACCCCCTAGGGGCAGAGAGGCAGGAGAGCGCCCCCTACTGAGTCACCTGCTGCACAGCATCCCCTAGGGGCAGAGAGGCAGGAGAGCGCCCCCTGCTGAGTCACCTGTTGCACAGCGCCCCCTAGGGGCAGAGAGGCAGGAGAGCGCCCCCTGCTGAGTCACCTGTTGCACAGCGCCCCCTAGGGGCAGAGAGGCAGGAGAGCGCCCCCTGCTGAGTCACCTGTTGCACAGCGCCCCCTAGTGCTGCACAGTTCCCCCTAGCATCCCTTGGTGGCTTTGCTTCCATACCCGCCCAGAGGGAACAGCGCCCCCTACTGAATGCCATGGAGACTGGACCCCAGACACAAAGAACCCCAAACACTGGGGAAGTCTGACTCTGGGCCGAAGCCTGGATCACCCAGCTGGGGCTCCTAAGCCAAATTCCTGGCCCGGTAGCACATCCCGGCTGCTGCGATGCGGTTCTCCAAAGGCACCGGGAGCTTTATAGAAACAGCAGGGGCAGAAGCAACATCCTCCTGCCCCAAGATCAACCCCCCGTGTCGGCTGGCCGGCCAGGCCCTCTGGTGCACAGTGGCGAGGCTCTGATTCCCATCAGCAGCAGATGCAGGACGGCCACACGGCCACACAAACACACCCGGGTTTGCACGAGGCACACCCCTGCTCTTGCAGCTTTTAACCTTTCCTGAAATCCCAGCCTGGGGCTGCACGTGTCCGGGAGGCGGATTCAAAAAGGAGAGGGGAAAAATCCGTCAAACACATAAAAGTCTGGACTGGCAAAGGAGGGCGGCGAGCAGGAGCGAGGGAGCGCGTGACCCTGTTTGCCTTTCTCTCCCGGCACTGGCACATTACTCGCGCTTGGGTTCACCAGGAGTGTGAATGCGGGAAGCCAAGTCCCCAGTGAGAGGCAGAGACAAACTTTTCAGCTTTGTTGGGATGAATCAGGGCGGGGGAGGTGGGGCGTGAGCTGGAAATGGGCTGTTGTTCTGGAGACGTTCACACTTGGCTTCGATTTCCCTGCCACTTCCTCCCTGACCGGCCGCGCGGCGGGGTGAAGGGCCTTGTTTCGGACCTCCTGGGCAAACAGGGCTTCCTGCTTTCAGCCACGCCGCCCCTCATGGGGAACTCGGTGGTGCTGATTTCTCTGTGGATACGTCCCTCCGCCCCCAGCCTTCTAGGTTTGATATTTTGCTTTGTTCTCAGGAAATCTGAAAATGCAACACTGTGGCCGGGACTTCCTGATCCGGCCCCTGCATTGCAGCCCCCAGCTCCACCAGATTGGACACGCTCAGCCGCCAAACAGAGTCCCCAATGCATGACAGCATCCCCCGCTGTGCTTACAGTCCTTGACTCACTAGGACATATGCCCAGGCTTACCTGCTTGCCTGAGTCAGGGCCTATGGTGCTGTGAGGCAGGCAAAGACTGCAATGAACTGGCTGGGAGGCACAGGTGGGTGCAGCCCTCTGCTGGACAGACTTAGAACATCTGAGCTGTGTGTCATAGGGGCCATACTGCTAGCGGTGGTTCGCCGGTAGCTCAAGTAATAGTAGACGGGTCTTTGGAATAGAGATCTGTTCCTACTATGGCTCTAGCAGCCCTGGTGTAGGGAGGAGTGAAGTCCAAAAGACTTGGAACCCCATGGTTGGGTGGGTAAATTGGCACCCAGCAGGGTTACAGACCTGTGGGGTAACAGAAGCAATTCCTGGGGGCTGAGAGACTCCTGTGATGGGGAAGTGATTGTAACCACCACGGGGCAGATTTGAACCTGGGACTTTGGGGAGGAGCTGCCACAGCTTGAGCTGCAAGCCAGCTGGCGCGCAGCTCTGGCTGTGGAGCTCCCTTGCTCTTATCTCTCGCTGTCGGTGGTCTCAGCGCCGCTCCGTGGGACAGTGAGGGGGTTCCACGATGCCTTAGCACGTGCGCTGCCCTGGGCAGAGGATGGACGGCTGCGGTGTCAGTCCAAAGAGGCAGGAAACTGATGGGGCATGAAATGTTCGTTTCAAGGCTCTCTCCGACTTCCCTTTCATCCACAGGCCTCCGCCGCCTGGCCTTCCCCCAGGGGAAGGAGAGCAGAGACGTGCAGCCGCCGGAGGGGCTGGCCCCTCGTGAAAAGGGCTCACCCGGGACGACCATGCAGCCCCGCATCGATCCCCCAGGCTGTCGGCGAGCCCCTTTGGGGGCTACACACCAGCAGCGGGGAAATGCCATCAGGAGGGGGAAATACGCTGAGATTTGAAACTGACAAGAGAGTCTGGTCCAGGCCAGGCGGCTGCCAGAGCTGGGAATGGTGGAATTGACAAGGCGAGAGGGGAAGGTTTCTTGCTATGGATGCTGCAGAGCTCCATCCCTGACCTTTCTTCCTTCTCTGTGCATTATCCTCCCTTCCTCGAGTCGTGGCTCAGCCTCTCCCTCTGCCCCTTTCCATCTCCTCTGCCCTGCTCCAGCTCCCTTCACGGGCTCACTCATCCCGTTTTCCAGCCTCCCTGCCTCTCTGATTTGACTCGCAAAGAGAGACATCACTGGAGCCAGGCCTGGCTCCTGAGCTCTCAGTCTCCTGCTCTCTCTCCCCCGCCTCCTCAGCCGCACCCCGGAAAGTCCCCTTCCCCTTGCCCCTGCTGAAATCCTCATGCCCGTCTTAGCCCGGCTGCAGTTCTCCGCCACTGCGAAATTGAGGGCAACCTGCCTCCTTTGCTGGCTTTCAGCCCAGGGTTTAACAGAAGGCGGACGGGGAACCCTCCACATTGTACGGGTGGTACAGAAAGAGCCCCCGTCCTGTGTCTGGGCGGATTCATTCCCGAAGTCCATGCAGTAGCACCCCGGGGGGCTCTGCTCTCCTGCCATGTGGTTCTCTGGCGCAACGAGAGGGGGGGTTTGCTTTGACAGCCCCAGCTCCACCCCCTCCTGCGCATCCCTGACTGTCTGCACCCTGCCCGGCGCTCTCGCAGGCCTTGGGAGGCGGGCCAGTCCTCGCCTCCAGACAGCCCCGCAACCTGAGATGAACACGCCCCAGCAGCACAGACACACTCGCCCGGGACCCCACCCCTGCCACAAACCCCGGTGCCAACTCTGTGCACATCTACACAAGCGACGCCATCACAGGCCCTACCCACATCAGGGGCTCATCCGCCTGCACGTCCACTAACGTGATCTATGCCAGCCATGCCCCTCTGCCACATTGGCCAGAGCGGCCTGTCTCTGCGCCACAGGGACACACGTCAGCCAGCAGGAACGGTACCACACACAGACCTGCCCGGAACATTTTAACCTCCCTGGACATTGAGTGATGGATTTCCAAGTAGCCATCCTCCTACACACACACTTCAATGCCTGAAAACCGAGAAACGGCAGAGCTGCAACTGACTTGCAGATTAAACTCGCCCAAGCGAGGACCGAATAAGGACGCAGAACGGTTCCCTCACGACAAAAGGGAGTCCGCATCCCCCCTGACTCAACCGGCCTTAACACTGGCCCTGCACGTGACAAGTTACTCCCGTCTTTGGACATACTAGTTGGGACGGGGCCTCGGCCCCACACTGGGTTGAGAAGGGTTAAATCCAGCCCTGGGAGAGGGCGGGGCTAAGGAGCCAGGAGCTGTGGTAGCAGCCAATCAGGGCCCAGCTGAGGGCTGTATAAATAAGGGCTCCTGGGCAGAGAAGACTCACTCCAGCTTGCTCTTGCGGTGGAGCAGGAGGGACCTGGCTGTTTGGGAAGCTGGAGGGTTCCTGATACAGAATGGGGCTGGGGAAAGGCAGGCAGGGCTGGGGAGCTGAGGCCTTGCTCTGGAGGCCTGAGGTACTGAGGCTCCGGGGAGGCAGGCGAAGGCAGCGGGTCCACCCTGCTTTGCCAAGGATGAGTGGTCCCGTCAGACGGCCGTTTGCCCCTGCAGTGACCGATTCCAAGAGCCCCTCCTGGCTAGCTGCTATTGACAGCCCTAGACGCCCTATTGGGAGCGAGGGAGGGGCCGGCTGGGGGCACGCTGGGTAGGTGGGGGGGGCTCGGGCGGGGGCCCAAGCTGGTGCTGCGGTTTGTGCGTAAATAATCACGGGCGAGCCCCGAGGAGGGGGCCCGTCCTGCCGCCCCCCTTCCTGCTGCGTGGCCGCTTGCTCCTCAGCGCCCCACGGAGCGAGTCCTCCAAGAGAAAGATGCTACTCAGCATGTGTCGGGGGGCGGGATGCGGCCCCTAGGGGGCATCGCTTGACAATAGAGAGCAGGCAGGATCGGGCCCCCGTTCTTCGCAGAAGAAAGGACCCGAGTCAAAACCGTGGCTGAGAATGTGGGGGGAAGGGTGGAAAAAGGACACGGAGCCGGGATCGCACCCCCGACCCGACCCGTTCCCCAGCTTCGGGATCACGCGGGCTATCGGGATCCAGGCTACTTTTGTCAGCCTCCATCCACGTGGCAGAGCCGGGGGCTCTTTAAACCTTGTCCTGGGCTGGATTGTGCCCGGCCGGCAGCGCTCACTGCCGCAGAACAGCTGCGAATGGGCTGGTTGAATTAGTCTGTGGGTAAAGGCCCCGATCCGGCAAGGCCCTGAAGCACGCAGCTGCAATGGACCGGCTCCCTCCCCGGGCCCTCCTGTCTCCATGCTCCCTGTAGCCCGTGCACAGTGGGTCGGAAACACCCCCGGGCGTGTCACCCGCTCTGCTCAGAAGGGATTGCGGAATGATCGCTCTGAGCCCCACCGTCCCTGCTGCAAGGCCAGAACTTGGGGGCTGGTCAGGGCTTGTTTTTCAGAAAGAGACGCCATCCCGGCTGGCTGGAACGTGCCCAGTGAGACCCTGCAGAGCGTGGGCAGCACGCAGGGGTTCTGATGCACAGAGGTTAGCTGCGATGCCCAGGTGCTCTTGGGGTGTATGCGTGTTAGATCTGCTCGTACGGTTGCCAGGTGTTCAGGATTCACCCGGACAGTCCGGTTTTCGGCTCCTGTCCGGTAAAAAAATTCAGAGAATGCCGGATACCTGAGCTGTCCGGTATTTTCTGAATTTTTCCCCGGCCAGGAGGCAAAGATGCCGGGCACCTGGCACCCCTACAAACACTCAGCCTCCTGCCCCCCCAACACCGCTTCTGGCCCCCAACACCCCCAGCCTCCCGACCCCAGCCCCCATCCTTACCTGGTTCAAAGGCTGCCAGCCAAAGCAATGCTTCCCCTGGGTCTTAGTGC